TGGCAGCAGGCAGCAGGTATACTATATATATATATATATATAAGCAGCTCGAACGTAATTACTCGGGGGGGCCAAATGAAAATGAATTTTATATACCGCTCTACTTGCCGCAGCTGCAGCACATTTCTCACTGGTTGCCATTTGCGTAATGCTAACGCTCCTTCTGGCCAGATTATCCGACTCTATGGAGTCTATATCCAAGTTTCTGAGTGTCCAGAGGTCTGACACCTGAGTGAACTGTGCCAACAGGACAGGTCGGATCATTTGTGCTTGTGGCCGGGAGTGTTTGGCAACTTTGCAACTACAAATATCCAACAGATTGGGCCTGGCCAACAACACTCTTTTCTAGCCCCAGCCCGCGAAAATATTCAATTTCACGTAACATAATGGTCAACTAATTTTGAGTCTGGCGAAGTGTTTGGGTTGCCAGCGGAATGCTTTTGTACTTAAAATTTATGGTTAAGTTAATGGGTTTAGTTTTGAATTACAATAGTAGGCGGCTGACTAGTCTTGTACAAAAACCATGGGAGGCTTTTTATTCTCGTACCATATATGAAACAACTGACATTTTTATTATTATGTAAATTAAAATATATAGAACGCACGAACTTGCAATAGTTTTTATTGTTCTGGCATTGTTATATTCGATTTTTAATGAGCCTGAGTCATTTGAATTAATTTAAAAAATCTGTTATTATAATCATGATATTTGATCTTAAACTTTTTTATTAACAAAATATTTAACTTGGCTAATTTTTCCAATTAATTTTCGTTAACAACTTCCTCATTTATGAACTCCCTACATTATTTACATCACATCAAACGTTGTTCATATTCTTCCGTCTGATCTGTACCGACCTTCCAGCCAATTACCTGTATAAAAATCACAATGGCTCAATGGCAGATCAGAAGTTAATATTGAAAGACTCGGAAACACTGAATAGATAGAGGTAATTACGGCAAGAACCACACAGAAAAGTAATGACGTTTAAAAAAGACTGTCAACAGAAGTTTTCTTACCCCCAGTAATTGATCTTTAAGCGCTGCTTAATTGTTGTTCATTACGCTTAGACTGAGATCAGCTCGAATGTCTCTAATTAAAAGCGAAATTGAGTTTGGTGCTAAACGGTGGCGATAAGGGGCGATCGCAACGGAGTTTGCCCGGGGAACTGGTTCCCCGCATGATAATTGCCTGGCAATTTCTTAATGTGGCTAGTGCTCTTGTATCCAGTGTTATGCAATGCACTGGCAGAAACAGAAAAAGAAGTAAAAAAAAAACTAAAACAGCGACAGAACTGTCACTTGCCTGCTGGCCATAAGGCGTACATTACCCCCAGAGCAGTACCACTCGAGATCCAATGAGAGATATCTACCACAGATGTTGGGGCACAGCATGTTTGGCAAAAACATAGCCCGGATATTGCCAAGGAATTCACTAGAAAAAGACTCAAATCTATTAAAAGTCACTCAAGAATTTTGGCTAACAAAGGAGGTTGGTTGGAGGAGGGGGCTATGTGTCGCCAGATTGAAACATTCATTAATCATGCTAAAAATTGCTGACAAATCACCATAACGGCGGCAAATACAACTTCAGTTGAACACTATGGAAAGTACAGTTGTGTTTGTTACTTTTGGGCAGTGTTGTGTAACACAAAATATAAGGGGGATTTAATTCATTTTTTGGAGGAAGTACCTAGCTCAGGAAATGATTAAGTTATACATTTTAAGAAATCTAAAGACAAAGTTCTTGTGTATAATCTTAGCCCCCTTTTTTACCCCACCACTGTCCATCAGCTTATGTGTGATCTGCGCGCCTGCGCAATCGCAATCGATGTTTGCTTATTACACAAAGCGGAACTCCAGACCAGTCCCGAGTGCGGTTCTATGTGGGATGTGGATGTGGATGTGGCTGTAGCTGCGACTGTCTTGGGTCTGTGCCTTCTGGTGCTTTATCGCCTGGCCCGTCTAGCTGGCCATTGTTATGCCAGACAATTGCAAGCCGAGATTAGCATAACCTGAAAGATACGAATGGAAAAAAGGGGGTGGAGAAAGGAAGGGAGTGCTGGTGTTGTCCAGAGAAATAACAAACACAATAAATTGAAATGGGAATAAGAAATTTTGAAATCAAATTTATATATTTAGGATATTTATTTATTTAGGAAACGACTTCAAAACTTGTAATTACCAAAAATATTTGCAAGCTTTTACCACATTTTAATACACATATTGAGCCTTGGCTTTTGTTCATTTTATATAGTGGTGTGTTTCCCGTAAACATAAAATATGTTAGGAAGAAAAACTCAAGATAACAACTACAGTTGATATTCTTTTTCATAAAACGTTACCTTATCTTACTGGTGTGTATTATAACTTTTGCATAATTTCATTCTGAGACAGCCAAGTTCAGTTTGGGTACACTGCCATAAAAGTAAATATTTTCCTATGGATCATGAAAAGTTGTTCCTTTAAGGAATTAACATTTGTTTTTAATTTTTAATGAATAATTTTTCCCAACATCACACATTTTCTTTTTTTGTTTTAAATAAATATGAGTCAAGTTCCTTGGATATTTCTTACCTAAATTCCGTCAAAATTTTTTGTTGCTCATCTCTGTACACAGAAAGTGAGAAGAAGTAAACAAAAAGCCACTGTGGAACTTGCTAAAAATATGAAGAAATTAATTTTCATTTCGTTTCGCGTTCGTGGGCCGACGTGATGGGCAACCAAATTGGCCAGCGAGTTATCGCACATTCCTTTCCCAACGCAACTCAACCCGGTGACGATTACCAATGGCCTTCTCCTCCTCCTGCGCCCGCAGACAAACGACAACCGGAGACGCAGTTCCCCCTGGGCCCAGACCCCCTCCCCCTCACATTAGAGCCAGTTATGTTTTGGCCATGACAGATACACGCAAGTGCGTTTGCATTGAACTTGGGCTACTTTGGGCGGGCTTTTCTCTTTTTTTTCGCCCGATGTGGCTGCTGTGCGTGTTGCAGCCTCGGGAAATTTTCACGGTCAAAATCGAGGAGGAAAATGACAAGTGTGAACCACATTTTTAGCGACGCTTGTCTGGGCCTGAAGTGATGCAAGTGGCGGCTGCTGGCCAACTGCCCGAGTGGGCCAAAAGCCCAACGTCCGCGAGCTCAACCCAGCCAGACAGACATTACATTTTGACTGGTTTTGTTTTTTTTCTGTTTTTTTTTGCAACCTAATGGGGTACGATGTCTTTGGTGGGCAGTGGCCACTCGGTCAGTTAACCATTTCGGGGAGTTGTTGGCCAAAATGCTGGCCGAAGACAAAGCGAATCAGCTGCAGCACATGCAAACTTTGGCAGCTCTGCCACTCGTTGCCGTTGGCGTTATTTTTCAGCTTTTCCTAACGATGCTTGAAGGAGGAAAAACAACAAAATTATTATTATTGTATTTTCTGCATTTTAAGATTCGGTTGCACATGGGCCACTGCTCGGATTTTGGCAGTATAAAAGCCACTGCAAATTTGGAGCTAACAACACAATTCGGCGAGGCGTCAACACAGACCCACAGTTCAGTAGTTCAGTTAATAGCTAGCGCACAAGGATCGCAAGGATTAGCAAAATGTACAAGTTGGTAAGTCAAGTTATAGAATAAATACTTTATATACTATAGTACATAATTCTATATCCCTATTAAAGGTGGTGTTCTTCGCTCTGCTTGCCGTGGTGACTGCCCGTCCTGGTTATTTGGAGGCTGGTCCCTTGCTCCATAGTTATGCCGCCCCAGCCATCATCCATGAACCGGCTCTGGCCAAGGTGGGCGCCATCATCAAGACCGTTCCCAGTGCCGTCTCCCATCAGAGCATCAGCCAGGTGCACAGCTCGGCCCACATCATCCAGCCGATTGTGGCCCCCGTTCTGAAGACCTATGCCGCCCCCATCATCAAGACCTATGCGGCTCCCGCCCTCCACACGACCCTCCTCTCGTCTCCGTGGGCCGGACATGGTTGGTCTGGTCATGGCTGGGCCCCATCCTGGTAAATGGTGTCTTATAGCCGGAGGTCCTGGATGGCTTTGCGTGGGCTAGCAACTGTGGCTTATCCTCACCCCGATCCCATGCTTATTGTCTTCACCCTGCTGTTTTGTTTTTCTTCCACCACATTTCGACTGATGTAAATAAATCCAAGTTTCATGCTCAAAACAAACTTGCGGTGTTCTATTAATAGGGGAAATACTAAAAATAACCACGCACTAATTAATGTTCTAATTAAGCATTAAAGAAAGAAATATTAATAGTATTCTGAAGAATTCCTAATCAATCCTAATTGAGTTGGCTTAAACCCCTTTTGATGCTAAATTGCAGAAAGTTTTTTGATTAAAAAAAATATAATAAGTCTGTCTGCATTGGTGTCACAGACATCTCGGGGGAAACTTGTACGAGTATTCATGTTTACCTACGTTTCCCCTGAATTTCGCTTGAAAATTATTTCTGTGACACCCCTGCGTGAAACAATTTTAAATTTGTTATACTTTCAAAATATTTAAAAATCCTTTTCTTCCTTCAATTTGTATAAAAACTCTCAATGTTCTTACTATCAAACTATGTGCCAAATGGTCTTCTTTGAAGATCCCCTGGTACTGCTTAAAGACCAAATGTTATTATTTAATAACTCATATTCGGAAGCCGTTGTTTTCATTTGGGGAACTTTTATGTAAAAGGTGTTTGACATTGTGATAAAAAGAAATGAAAAATTGCTTGATAAATATCAACTATAATCACAATTAAGTCGAACTATTCAAAAGATTATATGTGTTTTGCATAAACAATTTATTTTATTGATCATTATGTTGAGAAACGCGTTTTCTAAAGAACAGGAACTAACTATATTTAAGCTAAAGAAATATTAATTCTTAAAATTGTAGTTTAAAAATCCTAAAACAAAAAATCTTTAGTAGAATTTCCCCAGCTGTTGCCTTAAAACACCCTTTAAATATTCCAGAATAAAGAAATATAAGTTTTTTTTTTTAACATTCACATTTTACTCGCAATTTATCTCGTATATATACAATAGGAATCGCTATTTTCTAACCATCCAGATCGCTCGAATGAGCCCCCATGAGTCCAGTTCTGCCGATTACCAGCTGGAATGGTAGACGACAGGAGAGGCAGCGGCATAGGAAGTGTGCACCACTGGGGCAGCAGCGGCATAGGAGGTGTGGACAACGGGAGCAGCGGCGTAGGAGGTGTGCACCACCGGAGCAGCAGCGGCATAGCTGACCACCGGAGTGGACTTCACCACCGGGGCCACGATGTCCTCCACCACATGGGAGTGGCTGTGCACCACCGACTGACTCTGGTGGGACACCGAAGTGGGAATGCTGCTCACCACTGAACCCACTTTGGCCAAGACGTTCTCCTGGACAATGGTCGTGGCAGCTGGAGCGGAATAGACCAAAGGAGACTCATAAAGATGACCGGGACGAGCGACAGCTACGGCAAGGAGAGCAGACAACACCACCTATGGGATGAAAAATAGAGTAATGTTAGTTATAAGATTTGATATAATGATATATTTAATATATCCCTGCTATAAGTAAACTTACCAATTTGAACATGTTTAAGGATTTTTTGTTTATTGGTCTGTGTTGTGCTGCTGAAGCGAACAAAGTTGACTGATAATTTGAAAACCAAAATTGCTGGCTTATATATACAATGTTCCAAAAAATATTGTTCATCGTCGCTTTGACGCAGCTGCAAAGCGAAAAAGAGTGGCTTAATTAAAACATTTACGAGCCGAGCAGAGGGCAGTCAAAACCAAATGAGTTGAATAAATCTGCCCTCGCTGGGACAATAAAACATGAGACTTGCAATTGGTCACTCCAAGACCCGAAATCCCAGAGCCACAGGTACAAAACCCGAAAGCTTACGCACTGCAAGTTGACCCTGACTCTCGCCCTCAAAGTGCAAGTAATGCAGTCGCCGAGGAATCACAGTCTCTAATGTCAGACAAGGCGCCTAATGGTTTCGATTCGATTCCATTTTACACAGGAAAAATATGAGTGTTACCTACTTGATGGTAGCTTTGATGATTTTTAATTTTACATGGAATATGCACACTGATATGTTGGCATAAAAGGTATATAGGCAATCAATGCATTTAGGTGCAGTACGTGTGTTTATTTTGGTTTTAAGGTTTAGTAACTGAAAATGTTTTAATACCCTTTCTTAAAAAAACTATAGAAATTTAATACAGTGATTTCTAAGCTCACGACCTATTATTCCTATTTTTTGGTAAACCTACTCAAATCCAAAAATTAAATTTCTATGTATTTTCTAAGATCTTCATTTATTAAATCTTTTAAAAGTACCTATCATATCCATTATATAATTTATCATATATTTATTTACTTTTGGTTTCAAAGTTTATTGTTTAAAAATGTTATAGCTTAGCTAATGTAGCTTATATTTGGTAAACAGATATTATAAACAAAACTATTTTTCTGTGTACTCAAACACGTAGAGCAATTGTCTTCACTGAGCCGTCCACCGACGCAAATTGCTTATTGATCGTCGGCCAGAATCTGATATGGGTTTAATTTCGGCTCGAATTGTGACGGATCGGAAGGTCAAAGCCAAATGGCTGCTGTATAAAAAGATTACTGCAGCCCGGCAATCAGCAGCAGTTCTCGCAAGAAACTCAAACCGATCACTCGCAGTCCAATCAGTCAATACAGACCTAACCCATTTACCGAAAATGTTCAAGTTGGTGGTATTGTCTGCTCTGCTCGCCGTAGCCGTTTCCCGTCCCGGTCACCTGTTGGAGTCCTCCCCGCTGGTCTATGCCGCCCCAGCTGCGACGACCATCGTCCAGGAGAACGTTTTGGCTAATGTGGGATCTGTGGTCAAGAGCGTGCCCACCTCCGTGAGCCACCAGAGCCAGTCGGTGGTGCACAGCCACTCACATGTGGTGGAGGACATCGTGGCCCCGGTGGTGAAGTCCACTCCGGTGGTCAGCTATGCTGCTGCTGCTCCAGTGGTTCACTCCTCCTATGCTGCTGCGGCTCCTGTGGTGCACACCTCCTACGCTGCTCCTGCTCCAGTTGTCCACGCCAGCTATGCTGCTCCTGCTCCGGTTGTCCACACCTCCTATGCCGCTGCTGCTCCCGTTCTGGCCACATCCTACTCCCATGTGGCCGCCTCATCGCCGCTGACCTACACCGCCACTGGTGTGTGGTAAATCAGTCCCAGTCCGATCCCCACTCCTCCGCTTCCTACATCTGCCAGGTGACCTGGATGCGTTTGCATCGCTGGACGGTTTTGTGATACGAATTTTAAATAAATAAATGTTTTGCCTTGAAATCGTGTATTCCCCTATTTAATTGGAATTGTTTACTTTTCTCCTACACAAAATAACCTTTGGTTAAGTTGACCAATATAGCAGTTAAATGGGACACACCTTTGGAAATGTTAATTTGACTAAAAAGGCGATACTTTTATAAGAACAATATGTACACATTACACATTTTTTGGAAATTGTACTATTTTTTGGTAATTATACTATTTTATGGTAGTTCAACTATTTGTATAGTAGTTTTACTATTTTACTGAAGTGTTACAATTTGTATAGTATTTTTGCTTTTTTTACAGAAGAATTAATATTTTTTGGTAGTTATACTATTTTGTTGGTAATTTTACTATTTTACAGTAGTTTTATTTACTTTACTTTATTTATTTTAAATAGTTTTATTACTATTGTTTTGTAGTTTTAAAACTCAGAATGTATTTAACCTTTAATATTTAATGTACGACTGCTATTCTCCTGTACTGTAAATTAGCAAAAGCAAATTCAAGTCTAGGCATATTTCACGTCACTCTTGGCTTACAGTTGCCATCCCTCGGTGTGGACTTGGTCTTAACTTGTTTTCGTTTCTAAAAGTGTCCTAGTTCGTTGCCCTCTGTCACGTACTTACTTCCTGCTGCACCTGTTTTCCTCTGGGTAAATATTGGACATACACATGTCGGGAAAATGCCTCAAATGTGGGTGAGAATTAGTTGGGTGACAGCAGAGGCATCCAGCTGACTTGGAAATTGCCAACCTTTCCGGCCAGTGAACTCGCCATTGCCTTTGCAATTGTTTTATTAAGATGCCAAGACAAATCCGCAATGTTATTGCTCCAAATGGATTATTATGAAAGTAAAGGAATGTTAAAATTTATTTAATCAAACATTTAATTTTCTTAAAACACTAAAATAGTTCATCTGCTTTCATCTTTGTTGCGAAAGTTTGATATCACGGGTATTTCCATATTGGCCCGGGCAGCTAAATTCGCAATGGGGCTGAAGAGCATAGTCAATGCTCCCCCTAATCCGTAATCCACCGCGGTTAAATTTACACCCCTTTTGACTATCTCGTGATGATGTGCAACATATCCGCTGGTGCAGTGGTTAGATAGGAAAAGGAAAAACAAAAGCTGCAAAGGAATTAAGTAGTTCCCAGAAGATCTTCCATCTATTCTTACCGCTTTCATAAGGAAATCCATTTTTAGTGCTTGCAAAGGCGGCTCAAATGCAATAACTGCTCCGTTATTGAATCTACTCGCTTTTATAGAAAACTTTTCTAAATTCTAGGGACGAGTGTTGTTGACGCACAGGTGCAGTCATGACTTATTAGGAAAAATAAACACAGACACTGGTTGGTTGACGAAAATCTATACCTTAGCGTTCAGGTTTACTTACTGATTTTCAACAAAAGTGTTTGTGGTACCATGTAAAGTTAGTTATTTTATTTCGGACTATTTCGCTTATAGAATAAACAAGAAAAACTTTGCGAAAGAGATTCAAAGAAATCTAGTTTTTAGTCGGGTGAAATACAAATAATGGAGAATTGGTTTGGGTTTGGTTTGAAATGGGAATGGAAATAGGAATTGGAGTAGGAATAGAAGTAGTGAGATTTCCAACATTGTCCTGATTTGGTAGGGGGTCTTCATTTCCTTTAAAATTCGTTTGGGTTTGGTTTGTTACGGGAATCGATAGAGGAAAGGGGGTTGTGAGATTTAAAATTTGATCCTGATTTGTTAGGGTGTCATAGGTTCCACTCAAGAAGACCCAATTGGAAATTGACATCGCCGTGAAGTTTGAGTTCCTTTTAACCATTCCTACAGCCTTCTGATCACTTCCAAAAGCATATCGACCGTAAAGGCATAGAACCATCTGTAGAAAAAGTATAATTTTACACAACTTTTCATTCTAAAATATGATTCGATCTAACCACTTTGAAGACGACATCCATTTCGACCGGGTGTTGTTTGCAGTTCTATAATATGCATCCCAAGTATCTTCACTTATATAGAAACTTTCTATTTTGTTAGCAAAGTCTGTTCTTTTAGAACTCTGTTTACCTAGCAAAATGCATTGTTTATTTGTAGAATCAAAGTAAAAGCTTCTGGAAAACGAAAGTATCTTTCTGTCATCGGATGACTGGCCTTGACTTGAGTCGGAAGCGGGTTTCGATTGGCTCGCAATTAGAAGTAATTTCGGAACCTGGGTTCTCCCTTCCTAACCAGAAATCGAACCTCAGGTGAGTACGTGCGACTAATGATCTCTGCTTTGTGAAATGAAACCAAGAGTGGGTATGGCAAACAAGTGCGAGGCCGAAAATAAGTGAAGTAATATGGGGTAGGAGAGGAGATGGAGAATTGGCCACGAATAATAATCTGGTTTATGGCCAAGACCCGGGACAAGCGGCCAGAATCCGTTCAGGCACGTTCGACTTATGGCTCATTGTATCCGCCTCAATGGACAATGTGCGTGAGTGTGTGTGGGAGCCACGAAAGTGAAGTTCAAGTATAAAAGACGTTGACAGTCCCTCAGCTCAACACATTCGAAGTCTGTCTCCCTTTGCAGCGACACCAGTCGAAGAATCCTCAACCAACTCCCCATCAAAATGTTCAAATTGGTAAGGATCATGATTGGATTGGATTGGATCGATGGGCTTGGATTACTAACTCTCATTCTGACCTTCTTCAGTTCGTTCTCGCTGCTCTTCTGGCCGTGGCTGCCGCCAAGCCCGGTCACCTGGCTGGTGCTCCTCTGGTCTACAGTGCTCCTGCCACCACCGTCGTCCAGGAGCCCGTTCTGGCCAAGGTTGGTGCCGTGGTGAAGAGTGTGCCCACTGCTGTTTCCCACCAGAGCCTGACCCAGGTCCACAGCACCCCCGTAGTGGAGGATGTGGTCGCCCCCGTGGTCAGGACCACCGCTGTTCACTCCGCTCCCGTGGTGGCTGCCGCTCCCATTGTCAAGACCGTGGCTCCCGTCGCCTACTCTGCTCCTCTGGCCTACTCCGCCCCGGTGGCCTACTCCTCGTACTCCGCCCCCCTGAGCTATTCGGCGCCCGTGGCCTACTCCGCGCCCCTCTCCTACGCCGCCCCTGCACCCCTGCTTCACCACGCCCCCCTGACCTATGCCGCCAGCGCCTGGTAAGGTGGTGAAGAACGAAAGATTTTGGACTGTGCCTGGTTTAATATACTTCATTAAACGAAACCGAAAAAATAAACTTAATATGTGAATACCAAACAATAACTGTGTTTTCAAAAATCAATCTTTTGAATGTCTCGCAAAAAATGACTATTGATGAATAAGAAGGTTAAAGCATTAGTGTATTTTCAGTATTTAAAAGATATTACAACCAAACAATTACAATGCTTTCAAAAATTATTGGGTTCTTTTGAAAGTATTGCAAAAAATGACTATTGGTGGATAAGAAGGTTAAAGCATTAGTGCAAGACTTCCAATAATAATATCTTTTAAATACTGAAATTATAAACAAATAAATAAATAATGAATTTAAATACTGAAATTATAAATATATACAGTTATTAGACTGTCTGTATCTATGGATGGATAGTAAATAAGGCCCCGTTTTACGAAAGAGTTCTTGATTTAATAATTTAGATATAATAAATATAAGTTATTGGCTTACTCTTCTTTAAAAATTTTAAAATGACTCGTTTTTTCTCACAATTTGTATAATTTTTTGAAAGTAGATAGGCTCAAGGGATTTTTTGAACCTTTTTATGATGAATTAAATAAAGATTTTTAATTTGAATTTAACCAAGCTCTGATCAACTGATTATTAAGCTTATTAAAATATTTTTAAGTCTTTAAAATAATTTAAAGTATTAATGAAACATTGGTTCAGTTTGTATAACTTTATCCTGTCTTGAACTTGTATTTATCGCAAAATCGAAGAAATGTAACATTTAAAAAAAATAAAGCATGTAATTCTTAGCATTAGCGCAGAATGAGATTTCCAGGGGGGATATTCCTATGGAGGGTTCCTCTACTTCAGGTAAATGCTGGGGTAACTGGCTCCTCCCCAGACTCCTGGCTCGTACCATCCCGCACTGCTGCCCGCGTAGCCCAGGGGAGCATAGGAGATGGAGGTGGCCGGGGCATAGGCCGCCTTCAGGAGCGGAGTGTGGTCCACAATTGGGCGCCAATAGGGGCGCTTCTCGTGCACCACCGTGGAACTTTGGTGGGAAACTGCGGCTGGCAGGGCATAGCTTTCGTAGCCCACCACACTGGGGGCATACTCCACATGCTCATAGCTGGGCAGATAACTAGGACGAGCCTGGATCAGGGCAGCCAACAGTCCGCACAAAAGGAATACCTGGGGGAAATAAATATTGCTATAGTTACTCCCTTTTAATATTGACAGATGCGCCATGGCAACTCACTACTTTGAACATCTTCGCTGGGTGAACTCTGCAACAATGTTTGGCAGTTGAAAAAGTCACTCGGGTTTTATACAACCCCGACCAAGGGAATTGGCTTCTTTACGTTAGAATTGGCACAAACAATCGAGCTATCATCTTAAAGTTTGTCTGTTTTTTTCTTGTGTTTTCTGCGTTTTTCCTCAACCATATTCCCAGGCCCAGATGGCTCATTAGTGACCCATTTGGGCGTAACTGAGCGAGCGGCTTGGGCCGAGGCGAGGCTGAAACCGAAAGCCAAATGGCCAAATAAACCAGCCAGCCGAGCCACCCACAAGTGATACCTGTTCCAGTATCCAACACCACACCCACAACAACCCATTCCCAAATCCTGTTCATTTCTTCTACTTGACTGGCATTCCAGACATTAGCATAACCAGCAGCCAAACACTTTTTCCCCGACTATTTTTGGCTGCCACCAACGCAAATCGTACACCAAACACCATATGCCGTGTATGGCCCATTTGGCTAACTTTGATTTTAATTAAGCCAGCATACACGCCAAACAGATTCCCAGCCCATTTGCGACGACCTTGGCTCTAATTTAATTAAGAAGAAAAACCGAAGCAAAAAAAAAATATATATAAAAAAGAAACCCACAATGAGCTTGTTCAGAAGCGAGATATTTAACAAGCGGCTGACAGGCCCCGAAACGATTTAATCATTGGCCAAGTTGCTCTTATTGTTGGCAGTAGCTAACTGCAGAATGCCATTGTTATTGGATTCGGTACACTTTGGCTTCTATACCCCCAAGACTTGGCTTGTGTTCCAGCCAGCTCCAAAGTGTAAATCACTGGTCTGTTTAGCAGTAGTTGGCATAAGTCTTTGACTTGCACTCACCGCCGGGTGTAATATTTCTAGCTAAACAAAAAAAAAACGAATCAAATAAATAAGTAACCAAGCTACAAACCTAACTTTTTTTACGACCAATTCCAAAATATTTTCAAAAATCAAGGGTATACTTTTAAGCTGCTGTCTCAAAATGAAGCTTGGTTTTAAAGCTTTTCTTAACTTAAACAAGCTTTGTCTTTCCACTTAACCCATGTTAGACTTTGGGCCAAAAATTAACCACACAAGTGAGTAGACATTTTCAGCCAAGCGGAATTTCCTACAATCAATTAGACCTGACCAAAGTTCCAGCAAATATTTCAATCAATTTATTTAATGCTTTTTATTTAACCCAAGTTGGTAAGATGTGGAGGCTTAATTCCACTAGGAAATGAATGTTTCCACGAAGAACTTAGGCTTCTGTTAATCCACTTTTCCAAGACAATTCCATAAACAATCTCCCAGTAATTGGAATATTGACAAATGGACAAGAGTTTTAAATAGTCTGGCTAATAGGAGTTGACTGTGCCCACTGGGACTGGCTCAAACTCAACTCGAGTCTGCATTTGTATCTGTATCTTTGAGCTTGTCAGCATGGAACATGCAACTTAATTAGCTGTATTAAACCAAATTCGAGTGCAAGATTTTTCTTGTAATTATGGGTGCAAAGTAGCAACACTCTGAGCTGGTCTTATCTGAAACCTTATCGGTGTGACTCCGTTTTGGCTAAGAAACAGCATTGAAAATCGCTCATACGCCATGTAATTAGATCTGTAATAGCCACATCCGCCTGCAGGCTTAAACGTTTGGGAAATGCCTAGTTTGGCCGGTTCTTGCACCGCCTTGGAGATTTGCTGTCGGCGCGTTTTTGTGGGGCGTGTGATCTGCATTGTCTTATTAATTTTAATGACTGAATTATACAAAACTCGACGCACAAGCAACTTTTTGCCGGTTGCAACTGGTCGGCAACTTCCTTGATTACACACAGAATTCGAAGTTGATTTGAGCGGAGTTGTTTGCCAGTCGCTGTTGTTCTCAAATCGAATTCGTTTTGGTTTTGTTTTCTTGTAGCTATTTTTGCTTTTGTTTCTATGTAATTTTCGTACATGAATTTAATGTTTAGCTGCGGCTATCATTAAGTCTAATTGACTTTATATCGCTTATGGTGTTCTCAGCTCATTTTTGCATTTGTTTGTGAGAAATCCAAAGCAGAGCGAACTTGATCAGCAGATTAGCAGTTCATAGAGCGCGACCTAGGGATGGTAAACTGTCATCGCACCCGGATGTGGGCTATTAGGGAATATTTAAAAATTAGCAAACTAGGCCACAATAAAATATATAAAAATAAAGATGGCCCTTAAGAAGGGGTTATCCAGTCCCTGCTCGGGCGCCAGTGCAAACTTATAGGGAATCTTAAACTCGTGAATGATTGATTTGCCACCTCTAACCAATATATAGATACTCCCCTCACAGGTGTGCAATCATGCTTGGATCTCGCCCAGTAATTTGATTTCAGCACAAGTTCAGGGTGAGTAACCACACAAGTCACCGAATTGCTCTAGAACAATCTCAGAATTGGCGGCAAAAAAAGTTAGCAAAAGTGAAAGTCAAATTGGATGCACTAGAACCCACTGGTCTCCTAAAACAATGGCTATAAACTCAGGTGAAGAAAAGGGGAATGCGCACCCATACGAGAACCAAATTCAATTAAAAAGCACTAATCGAGTAACGAATTATATGGGACAGCCCCTCGCATAAATCTCAGCAACTGGGAGTCAAACGATTTGCATACAATTTGGCGACACACAACTTTAATTTACGAGCGCCAAAAGGGGCGTGAGTTGTCCAACATGTTGTCGTTTATTTTTGATTTCAGTTTTCATTTGTCATTTGTTATTGTTGCAACTCAAGTTAGAGACACTGAGCTCCGATTTAACTACTTAATTATGAAGCAGATTGCAGATTTCGGTCTATTTGCATTGGCAGCCAGAGAGCGAACACTCAATGAAGCTGTCAAATGATCTGTGACCAAAATAGTTTTAGCATGCGGGGCAGACTGATCAAAAACAACACAATTTGCTGCAAAAACAAGTGCTTTACGTGCCATGAGCCCCATTGCGCAATGTCCCAGTACAAAAAGAACTTCAAAGCGAAATGAAACCAACTTTGCAAATGATAATTGTTGGCCCAACCTTCGGGGCTGAGCTGAAGGTAAACTCAGCTCCGGCATAATGCAGTAGTCAAAAGGAAGGGAGGAGATCTCATGGGGTTAATCCACCTTAGCTCACTTTAATTCCATTAATGAAAACTTACCTCTCAGCTGGCGAGTGTGTTTCTAGAGCTTTTCACAGCGGTGCCTGGCTGACATTTGCTTTATGGAGGTGGAAAAACAGAGCGATGATTGGTACCCTAGAAGCATAATCACGGTATGATATTTTAGACTCATTAAAAAATAACTCGGAAAGATCATGGTGTAAAGAAAATGATTTTATGGGAATGACTGTGTAGAAGAACAAATTTTTCAGATTTTATTTCTATAAATACGGATTTATATACATATATTATATAGATTAGACTAGGGACTTATTATTATATATAACATATAGATTAAACATTTTAAGCGGATCCCCACATTTTCAATACGAAAACTTTTTATTTTACTAATACTAAGTCTAAATATAATATATATATAGGTACTTCCAAGTCTAGTTAGTAAGGTAACATCATTAGCATAATGTAATATCATTTAAAAGGTAAGATCTCATTTCTGATCCCATTTTCCAGGGTAATTAACTAATCAAAAAAATTAGATTTTTCACCAGCCATTGTTACAGTTTCGCACTTGGTAATCGTAGCTACTTCTCTGGGTATTAATCATTATAAAACGAGTAATTGTCGGGGTTTTCGCTGTACACATAGTAATGTGCACGACATTGTGACAAAGGCTGGGGTAAGCACGACCTTGACCGAGTGGAGTCCAACATGTGGTATACTTAATACCTAATTGGCCACACTTGAGTCACAGCCAGCAATTTGCAGATGGGAGTTGGCCATGCAAATTGCCATCCACCCAACCGACAATTATGTAAAACTATAACAAATTAAATAACAACTCTTTGCGGTCATATGTGGGCCTAATCAAATGTCAGTAAACCGAACTAATCACCTATGCTCCATTTGCGAATTCCAGACCCCCCCCCAACTTGTGAAATTTCCCTAGCCAGAATTCGCCAGACAAATTTCAGGTCCGACTATTTCGCCCAGAAAAATCACATACATAAATCATGAAAGGAAAAAATATTGAGTTGAGCCACAGCGAGTTGGGTTGGAAAATTGACGGCTTTTAATTTCGACTTTTGAATGATTTGTTGGCAATCAAAGTATTTTGGGCGTTGCTTGGAAAATGCGAATCCGATCGAGAGTTTCGACTATATGGATTGTATGGATGTTGCCCAATGGTTATGGCAAAGATACAGAATGCAATTGGGAGGCCATTAAAATGCAATTACAGGCTGGTCAGCTGCAGACCCAGACCCACAAAACCCAAGCCCAACCGCGTTGAAGAGTGGGTGGCAGTATCGGTTTTGTGGCCTGTATGCGAATCGATAGATAGCCACGCAATTTGGCATCCTGTTTGGTGTCAATCAAGCCGCCTTCAATATAGATTTATGCGACAATTTGGTCAGCATTTGCATAACGCCACGGGCCAAAATCACGAGGTGTTTGGCTTGGTGAAGGGTTTACTTTGGCTTAGTTTGAGATTTTAGATTTTCGATTTTAGACTTGATATGCAGATTGCCCAGGGTCAAAGCCGAAGAATTGTCCCCATCATAATTGTTTATTGATTTATGAGTCATAAACTTTAAGCCGCGCTTTGTTCGCCCTCTGAGAACTCAGATATTTGATACCAGACTTCGATACAAAACACCGATTCAAGGTTTGGAATCAAGCATTTTGCAATTCTTTTCACGCCTCGTGTTCTGGCCGATCTCTAGATTTGATTTGAAAAGTTTCCAAGGAATTAAGCATGGCTATTAGGAAATCTGGCAGGCCATTCGAAATGCGGCGAATATGATTTACCTATGTTTCCAATTGATTCCGCTCCTTCCACCCAAGTTACGCATACGCCATGTGTGCGCGATAACAAATCAGTTAAAAATTAATGCATGCAAAATATATGCAAACCAGCTGCTGACCATTGGCCACCGACTGGCCAACTGCACCAA